CGGCCCGGAGGCTCAGGGATTCTACATCACTGCACTGTAATTACGCTACTTTTACTAGCGGCTGTGAAAATGCTTTGTTACAAATAATTAAATTCAGCACAACCAGAACTGCACTGAGAAGACACAAACGTTGCATAAAAGCAACAAAATCAGCAGCTGTGGACTCAGTTTTCAGAGCCACCTTTCCTAGGCTCCAGTCAATCCCCTCTCTCTGCCATCCCCCAAAAGGGGGCAGGAGAATTCACCTGGGGTGACTCCTGGTGTGGGTGGGCTAGCCTCAGAAACCTACATCTGGTCCCAGCTCTTCCGTTTATCCAGCAGGGAGTCTTCATGGGGGTCATCACTGCCCCCACCCCAGCTTTGGTGTCCTTGTCTTTAAAAAGGGGGGTGATGGCAACCCAAGTCTCCTGGCAGAGCTGTAGATCCGATGAGATGATGGGTGGAAACATGCTTTATCAACTAGGAAGAGCCACATCTACTCAGAGACCCAGAGGGGGAACTGGAGGAGCCAAAGACGGGGATGGCCCAAGGCAGCTGCCTGGAGTTGAGCCAGAGCCCTCCAAGGGGCGTCATGTCCACCCTTGACCTGTGCGAACCTCCTACTCCTCTCACCTTCCCGGGGCGCTCACCGCCCTCAGCCATCCCGGCATCTCTCTTTTCACCCTTCTCCCTAGTGACCGGAGACCTGGGAATGGATATTTCAGAAAGGCCAGTGCCTGGGGCTACCAGCTGCCCCAAGAAGGCTCTCAGGTTTCACTTAGTAAAACTCAGTCAATGGGTGGCCCATTGAAATCCACCACCACTGTTTTTGGTGCAATCTCTCGAGAAGCTATTAGAGAGTGAGCCTTCACTACGCATGTCTTGAGGGAATTGACTACCAGAGCTGAAGACACAATTTGGGAGTATAAATAAGGACTTGGTTGGAACACCTTGACTATGAATTCAGTGAGTGTCTCCTCCTGTCTGAAGCCAGAGCCTGGTGCGTGCTCAAGCAAGATGGCAGGATGGCAGTGTCCCGGTTGCCTGTGACCAGAGGCCAGTGGGTACTATGACAGGAAGCCTGGTTCTCAGGACGCCTCTCTCAGCCCCTGTGGACTAATCTGTGGCCTCAGACATGGTTGAGCCATCAGGGTTTAAATGTCTGTGTGTACACTGTCCTGGGGGTGCTGAACAGGCAAGTTGTCCTTCCTACAGATGGCGCCCATCCCTGCCCCTGGAGGCCTTCAAAGCTGTGGTCACCCTGCCGTCCCTGGTAGACTCTATGCATGGCCCATACCTGCCCCCTACAGGGCTGGTGGCTTATTTATTCTGTGACGTAAATAATGATAACTTGTTTACAGACTGAAATGACACACCAAAGACCCCTTCCGGAGCTACTAAATGGGCCTGAGGACCTCGAGAGGCCATGGAGGAACACAGACCGTGGTCCAACTGGGCGCTCTGGGGAGCTGGTCACTCCCCAGAAAGGCCGCTGTCTGCATGTCCAGGGCCCCCTGAAAGAAACCTGGAGGCTAAAAGGAAGAAGGGGCTTCTCCCAGCGGACGGGGAGCTGGCGCAGGCAGGGAGGGGTGGGGTTTCTGCCACGGGGCTTGTGTCACAGGGCCAGCTGCTGCCACGGCCAGACCTCCTTGCTCCACTGCAATCCCCACTGGAAAATGCGTTTCCTGCCTCCCACTAGACAAAAGGCACAATGGAAACTGAAGATGACCGTGTGATTAATCACTGCTGACATCTCAAGGTTCTGTTGCCCAGGTCGTTTGGCACAGTGGTAAAGGACATGGGCCCTGGGGACAGCTCGGCCACCTTCTAGCTGGGGGAGATGGGAATCTCAGTGGCCTCTCTGGACCTCAGTGGCCTTGCCTGTAAAATGGGAGCAGCAGTCATGATAAGTAGAGCAGAATGACATCATGGGGTCATCATAAAGACTGAGTGGGACCATCCATGGGAATTCCCCAGCAAATACTCAGTGTGCAAGATATTTTGCACTACATTTATTTGCATGATTCATATTTTATCCTCACAATTATTTTAGAAGTTTGTAATTATTATGACTATTTTCCCAATGAGGAAATCAGTGCTCTGGGAGTTCCCGTGACTGACTTGAGGTCACCGAGCTGCGCAAAGTGAGGCTAGAGATGGCCCCAGCAGCCTCACCCCAAGTCCCCAGCTCTGGCAGGACCACCTGGCTCTTTGGCACGTACCTTCATTTTCCTTGCCAAGCCACTCTCAGAGTCCGACAAACCAATTGTCATGGCCATGTGGAATGTGCTATCAATAGTGTGGACCACTAGTCACACGTGGCCACTTTCAATTAAAATTAAATCATGTTACTTAGTGTGGCACTCCAGTCCCTTCAGCCAGTTCTGCCAGAAAACGCTGATCCCTCCTCTAGGCTCTACCTTGTCCTCCATGTGCAAAAACTTTCTTTGGGTTCAAAGCAGAGCCTGCTTCCTCTGGACCAGGCCACTGGGAGACAGCAGCAATTCTCAGTCTGTAGCAGCCAATCTCATGGCAAAGACAGCAACATTCCAATTTTGACCAGAAGGAACAAAATCCTAACCAGGGCAAAAGGGAAAATTCACTCATCAAGTATTGTTTAAATTATTTGAAAATATACTGCATCTGTTTAATGTTTAAAGCCAAAGAAAGTGGCAAAGTAACC